AGGCTCTTACTGCTAACATCGGAATCGGTAAGAATAAGATATGCTTTGATAATGTTTACTCGTGTAAATGGAGCTTCACTATAAGCTCTTTCATTCCTAGCCGAGTCGCCTACAAACGCAAACCCGCAGACAGTCGGAAGCATTCAGTCTGTTAATTTGGATTCAATGTTACGTCATACCTTTATACCGGATTACACGGTGCGCGCAGTGACTGAAGTATTTTACTTAAAAGTCAAGAGATCCCTGTACCTCGCCGCAAAGCGCGCTACACTTCTTGAAAGAAGACAAAAGGATCCGTTGCCTAGTCAGGAACAATTCGACGATGAAGTGGAGAAGGTTGTATAAATGTTATATAAATCATAAGCTACTAGAAATTGTCGCGAAACTTTTTGCCAATCTTGGACGAACGACTGACTGACTTATTAATTTGCAGTTGTTGCATTCTCTGGAGGAAGATGATCGTAGTGTACCTGAATCTCCGATTTTGCCCGCGGATAGAACTAACAACGAGAAAGAAAAGGATTCCATTATTCATTCACCCATACGTAGTGTAACGGCGCCGACGTCGCCGCTTCCGGTCAGCGCCAGTCCGATCACGAATTCGAAGTTTATCTCGCCTCGGAATGATGGAAAAATCAGAAATTCATCAGCAAAGGTTTCTACATGTCTCACATTTTAATCCTCAGATATATCCTTCGAAAAGACTATGGCTGGAATCATTCTTGATCCATACTCTATTAGATAATCAAAAAGTCACTCCGCGTATAAATCTAGTACATAAAATAGCAGGAAAAAAGCAGCAGTTTTCGAGCAGTTTTGATTTCTTTAGAAGATGTACAAATAATCTGCAAAACCTAACAAATATCTGTTGAATCTGGAATGATCCAGCTATTGCTGCCAAAGGGTTAAGATATCTCAAATCTCACGATAAGATTAAACTAATGCGAAATTTATTGCTTTCTGATTGATGACGAATATATGTATTTAAGGTACAAACGAGTCCAGTGGAAA